GGGGGGGGGGGGGGGGGGGGGGGGGGGGGGGGGGGGGGGGGGGGGGGGGGGGGGGGGGGGGGGGGGTGGGGAGTTTGTGCGCGGGGGGGGGAAGATGGGATCGGGGGGGCGGGAGCGGGATCGGGTGGGGAGTTTGCACGCCGGGGGGGGAAGATGGGATCGCGCGGGGGGAGATTGGGATCGGGGGCGAATCGTAGTCGGGGGGGAATCGCGACAGCGGGAGAGGAGAAGAAGAATCAAAGAAGAAGATAAAAAATAAAAAAAAGAAGAGGAGGAAGAAGAACAAGATGATGAAAAGAAGAAGACCAAGATGAAAAGGGGAAGAAGAAGAAGAAGAATCGAAGAGGAAGAAAAGAATAAGAAAATAAGAAAAGAAAATTGTCGTCGATTACTTATCTGCTCGGGGTAGCAACGACGATGACAAGGATGGCACGGCGTGGCAATGAGGACGACGGGCACGGCGATGGTCACGTGGCACAACGACGACGATCGCGATGATGATGACGTGGCACGACGACCACGATCGCGGCAATGACGGTGATGATGTGGCACAATGGCGATGATCACGACGATGACGTGGCACTGCGACGACGATCACGACGATGATGTTGATGATGGCCAGGGGATGGCGACGAAGCAGGTGGGTCGGGCGGGTTCGAACCGCTCCGATACCAGTGCGACGGGCGTGAGGGAGAGGGTGAGCCGAGGGAGAGGAGAGAGAGAGGGAGAGAGTGAGAGCACACACATACACTCACTCACTCGACACCACTGACTCGGACTGAGGGTCGGACACAGACACACTGGCAAGGCACAAAGTCGAAGTCTTGGATTCCGAATGCCGAAACAGCACGTCACACAGAGTACGACTACGCCAGCAAAAAACTGGTACGAGACTGGTCCCCATACCGTACAGGGAGCCGGTATAACTACCGGTGACACATACGGTACCAAGGGCATTTCTGCAAAGGCCCCGAGGGCAGAATTGAAAAATGCACTATTTGAAAGTGGCGCCCGAATTGCAGCATGGCACCAGTTGTCCAAAATCCTACGGTACCAAAGGAGGGGTTTGGAAAAAGGGTGCCAGGCCGAAAACGGGATGCAGTCGAAACAACAAAAAGATAGACCAGGGATTGAGCCCTGGAGGAGTCCGTAACATTACCCCCCTCTCAAGAGCGAGGTCCCTTTGAGCGACTTACTCATTTTGAGTCCCGACAAACGCATCGTAAGCGAACATAGCAAATAAAATTTTTGAGTACTCAATAGTAGTGGGTTTTGCAGAATTTTTTGGTATAGCATTAAAGGTTATTTGTCGTTTGTATGCTTTAACAACGCGAGGTGCGCTGCGTAGCAATTGTTTCTTTGAAATCCAATAGAGACCGTCCAACAGGTGGTACATGAAATTAATCTGGTATTGTCTATTACGTTCATCCCCTACATGTCTTTTAATTCTATTGATCTAGTGACCGCCATTGATTGCACGAGGGATCATGTGTTCACGATAGTCGAAGAATTTAGCATCATGATATATAAACAACTTTGATGCATGAAAGATTGAGTACGTGCGCAGATGAGGAGGCACGACAATTACTTATGACAGACCAAACTTATTGTCACCAATCATATCCAAGACTTCCCACAAACCGTAATGGAGAGGGAGAAGTCTGCGCGACACTCCCTCCCCAAAAAAAACTCAGACATCTTGCCCAGACATAACTTCCCACTTTGATAGTCGAAGGTGTGCGCTTCTTATTCGCATGATGGATCATGGTGTGTTGTCGCTTGGTCATTGTTGCAATGACAACCTTGAGCAAGCGACCATACCTGGTGCTGAAGCCCGGTCCGCCAGGCGTTAGTCCAGCCAGTTGTTCAAGGAATACGTAGGAGAGCGGCAACCATAATGCAGCGTGTTTGGCATCATGCCGGTGGAGGAATGGATGGAGTTGTTGTACATCCCTTTTACCGAATATAGCTCTTCATCCCACGTTTCCTGATCTAGAATAATTAAGGCACAGATAAGTTGAAACACGGTCTGATTAATTTCCTCATCCAAATCGTTGGCTTCGGGATGTCGACGAGATGTCACGCTCAGTTTGTGGCCAGGGAGTTGGGACGTGAATTCTCAATCGCTCACAAGGGTTTTC